AAATAAAAGTTTTTGTTTACATAATATATGTGTGTGCACTGTGTATATTTATTATGTCTATATAAATACACACACATACGTGTATATATTTCAGAAAAATATGTTATGTTTATATATTAAAAATATTTATCTTTAATATCAATTATATAAATATATACATGTAAATACATGTAAATCTTTTAAAAATATATACTGTATGTTTGTGTATTTGTATATACATAATAAATATACACAGTACACACAAATATATTATGTAAACAAAAACTTTTATTTTGGATGCGATTAATCATTTGACAGCACTAGTAATACCTAATGTATATTTATGTGAACCTGTATGTCTACCAGAAAAAAAAAAAGCACACTTCTTCTTAACAAGTCATGTGATCTGAGGCATTCACATCTGTAACACATACGCTGCTAACACGAATGTATACATTACAAAAGCTAAACTACAGTGTTGTTACTGTCATGACATTATATTTATGCTTCTCCTCTTTCTCTCCATGAGGCTTTATTTCTTGCCGAGGAAGAGCAGGCGAGCGCTGTTATTAACCGTGTCTAGTGTAATGTAAATAATCATTTCCCTGGCAACAGTGTGAATGTCCTCAAACCGGTTAATCTCAGACTCCTCTCAGTCTCACACAGACACACTAATCCTAACCAAGGGGGTTAATTAAATGCAATATGAGCCAAAAACATGCATAGAATCACACCGCAAACACAGCTCTGTGGGATCATGTTGTGTTACAATGAGTGTTTTTGACACTGGCGGATTTATTTGTATGTGCCAGGAAAAAAACAGACACTAGAGGAAAACGGTATTGCTTAAAGTCACAATTTCATTTCAGGAGATGAACTGAGGTATTCATTATGGTGGTTTCTCTTATATGTTAATACATTTCCTCTTACATATTAGATGTTAAACTTACCAGGAGAAAGTATTCTGGGTTTTTAAAGTTTTAAGTAAGTTTTAAATCAACTTACTTTTGAGGCACACAATCAATTTAAATTTGTAAAAAAAACTATAAATTGAATATAAATTTAATCCATTTGAATTAGGCCAACATGAATTTTTGGTCACAAACAAATTGCACAGATGCAATGGATTCAGATCCAAAATGACACAGACACACTGGAAATTGCAAGTGTTATTATTTTTTAATCTAACATCATCCATCCATTTAATTACATAATTTATTTAGGTACTCAACTAAAGCTTAGTCCTCATTTTCAACTGGAACAAATCCTTTTAAACATAATATTTCCCTTTAAAAATTGCTATTCCTATTCCTACTACTAATATATTATTATTATTATTATATGTTCAAAAAGATTTGTTCTGGTGTTGCTTTATTGAAAATAAGGATTAAGCTTTTGTAGAGTACTATATTAAATAATAATAATAATAATAATAATAATAATAATAATAATAATTAGTATTATTATTATTTAATTATAATTATTATTGTATGTTCAAAAGGATTTGTTCTGGAGTTGCTGTATTGAAAATAAAGATTAAGCTTTTGTAGAGAACTATATTAAATAATAATAATAATAATAATAATTATTATTATTATTAATTCATTTAATTACATAATTTATTTAGGTACTCAACTAAAGCTTAGTCCTCATTTTCAACTGGAACAAATCCTTTTAAACATAATATTTCCCTTTAAAAATTGCTATTCCTATTCCTACTACTAATATATTATTATTATTATTATATGTTCAAAAAGATTTGTTCTGGTGTTGCTTTATTGAAAATAAGGATTAAGCTTTTGTAGAGTACTATATTAAATAATAATAATAATAATAATTATTATTATAATTATTTAATTATAATTATTATTGTACGTTCAAAAGGATTTGATCTGGTGTTTTTAAGCTTTATTTAATTTTTAAGCTTTATTTAATTTTGTGTAAAAGTTTTTCTCTTTTAATTATAGTTTATTTAAATACAATTATAATCAAGTTACACGTTTTTATTTTGGCGTATGTAGCGTAGGCAAATCTGAGTAGTTTGTGAAACTGTTGAGACCTATATGTGGGATAACTAGAAAATCACTGGTGTTTATTAGAAACAGCTCAGATGTTAATTAATCTCATGTGTGATGTGTGTGTAAATGAGTGTATTATTTTCACCTGCTCATGGTACTCCACTCCCATGCTGAGTGTATTGATAAGGATTGCTATCATTATCCCTCTGTTGAAGTACTCGCTGTCCACAATCCGCCTCAAAATGGCTCTGGCATAATGAACACACATACACACACAGTTCTCATTCCCAGACTCCTTTTCATCCAGATCCTGGATTCTTTTGCTCTGTTCTGAGCTGATGTCTGGCCCCTGTTTCTCTGGGTCCGATTCACTGTTGGAGTCGCAATTAACACCATCGCCTTCCTGGGCACAAATTGGGCAGGAGGACGACTCTGAAGACACCAGTCCCACCCTGCTGTCCACACACACACTCGAGCACGTGCCAGGATACACACCTGCAGTGAAGGATGACAGTATTTAATATCACACATAGGAAGGCTGGGGCTAGATGTCTCAAAAACTGTCCAAGTCCAATTTACGCAAATGCTTTGCTACAATGTTTTCCTATGTGTCTATACAGAAACTGACTGTCAAAAATAAATCTACTCCTACTCTCTAGCTTGCTTCCTAATCTACAGTAGTTGTCTAATAAACCTGGTATTGCGTTTTACGAATATTGTTGGTTGTAACGAATTGCTTTTGTAAATTGCTTTGTATAAAAGCATCTGATGAATGCATTAATGTAAATGTAAAATGTAAATGTTCACTGCAGTAAATAGTGTGACAACTAGCCCCAGCCTCCCTGTTACATAAAATATTTTGTGCTATAACCTGATAATTAGGCAATCCAGTGATGCATTAGTGGTCTGATTACAGTGAACAACACTGTGATTTGCTTTGATAATAGTGATCGATACTGTCCTTCTCGCATAATCAGGTCAAAATCTGTCTGCATCTGCCTTTTATGACCCATATGCTGTGCCTGAGCTTCAATGATCTCTTACATGAAATTCACAATGTGCATGATTCACATATTAGTTCATTTCAAATATATGGTATATTAACTGATGACACCAAACCCAGTCAAAAAGGAATATGTACAGGACTCTTATTTTTTAATTCATAATTTGGCACCAATTCTTTAATTACCCTAATGGGATCAAACTGGACTTCTCTAAGATTTTATAGTTTTTAGTGTCAACTAAAATCACCGTTCTGCCATTTACTGTTTTTGTCACCACTGTTATTGTGTTGGAATAATATGGTTACTAGGGGAGCTATAGGATTTTTTCAAACTGTTGTGAAATTAAATGCTACTGGCTTTCTAAAAGGTGTCCCAACAAACAATCTGTTTATTTAAAAAAAAAAGCACTTCCGCTCAAATGTTTGTGGTCAGTAAGATTTTTTTTTTAAAGAAATTAATACTTTCATTAAGCAAAGATGCATTGAATTGATCAAAGGTGACAGATTTTTAAAGTGTTACAAAAGATTTCTATTTCAAATAAATGCTGTTCTTTAAACTTTATATGCATCAAATAAGCTTGTAATGCATCATGCATAATTGCCAACATAAGAATTAAATTACTTTTTTAAAATGTTAAAACAGCTATTTTAAATTGTAATTACATTTAATAGCATAAAGATTATGTTTATTTCAAAAACATAAAAAAATCTTACAGACTATTTTGAACAGTAGTGTACATCAACACAAAATTACAAAATAAGGATTTTGTACAATATTTATTACAAAATAAGGATTTCCTTGCTATTTTTTCCTATTGTTAATCATAAAAAATGTTTTGTGTTATGTTAAAACTCCATAAGAAATTTTGCATTAGAATTATTTCGGTTCCAAATTCGGATGTAAATATTTAATTTTTAAATACATTTTAAATGAATTCCTGTTGGAATTTTTAATGGCTGCTGGCATTCAAAACACGTCACTTTAAAATAAAAAGGCAAAGTTGGTTATCCATACCTGACGAAGGGCAACCTGACCACTAAAGTTTTAGAGCTAGGTAGATTACTTGCAAATTATAGTCTGTTACTGAATACAAATTACATGCTGAAAACTGTAGTTAGTAACGTAATCTAGGTTAATTTCAGGTAATGTAATCTGAATACTTTTGAGATTAGCCTACTATTAGATTACTTTTTTTTTTTTTTTAAATCCAACATGTTATAAACTTAACAATAAACGTGTTTCAGACAGTGTTTCATAGCTATACATCACCAGTGTTTAGTAACTTGCATAATTATTTGTTATTTATTATTTGTTAATTGCTTGAGAGGTGCTTTTTCCCCCTTAAATTCAGAAGCATGGTTTGCAAATTTATTTACACAACATTTATGAACATAGTCAAAGCTTAAATGGTATGACACAATAGGATTTTTAGAAAGATCCTAAAAGAGAAAAAAAGAAGAATTCGGGAGAATCTATTAATTATAAATAATTTACTGCCATTGCGTGAATAATAGTAGTCATGTAATCCATACAAAGTAACTGTAATCTGATTATGAGCATTTTAAAATGTAACCTACTATAATCAGAAGTACTTCATTTTTGGAATCTGATTACGTAATCCATATTACATGTAATCAGTTACTACCCAGCTCTGATGATATCTATTAAATGCAATTGCACAGAAGTGTCGGTGAGGATGTACCTTACCTACAGGATGCTGAAACGAATCAAAGTTATGAATACATTTAGACCAAAATGTTGAAAAAACCCAAGGCTTCCTCATCAGGTAATTTCAGGCAAAAGTCAAGAGGCACAAAAATAATGACTAGACAGAGTGTGAGTTTGTTCAGACGGTTCCCTCAATTCAATTTGGAATTATTAGGGCATGTCAAGTGCGCAAAGCCAAGGAAAAAAATAAAGAATTCCATTATCTACGTTATTAAGTTAAAACCCCAGAGACATAATTTACTCTTAATCCACAAACTCAAAGTCAAGTTTTAAACATGACAGCAGGGCCAAAACACTTCACTTTTTGCACAGAGATTGCAATTCTTGTACTTAATGTTTTTTATGTACAGTGGCCCCAAAAAGTATTTGTACCTTTAAGCCACAATTCATATAGCCCACACTTAATTTTGATAGTCCACTTTAGACATTCTACTAACTATAAGTAACTTTGTAACTACACGTCAGTCAGCTAACTGCAGTTAATTTGCAACTACATGTCAACTAACTCTTAACTCTTAGTTTAGGGTTAGGGTTAGTAGAATAATTTGGCAATACTTGCAAAGTTGACTTGTTGACTATATTAGATTTTTCTGATGTGTGACCCATATCCAATATCTGCATTCACAATACACACATGGTGAAACAACCCAGGGTAAATGTACTGACATGGTTGCCAGGTCTACAAAACAAAAACCAGCCCAATTGTGTTTTTCCGGGTTTTTCAGGGGTTCACCTCTTTCGAAATAGCAGGGAGGAGAGATCACTTTAACCTGCAGATTAAAAACTAGGGCTGCACGATTATGACAAAAATCATAATTGTCGATTATTCCCTTGAAATTGTAATTGCGATTATTAATTACGATTATCACAATTTACATTGAATGATGTTTATACCATTGTTTGATGCAACTGCATGCCGTATTTTTATATGAAAATAAACAAGCTGAAAACACTCTAACTGAAAAACCTTTAGTACTTTTCTATAGTATTAAGCCTCAAATGTCAAATATACATCGGATTGGTTTCTTCTTTAAATTATAAAAAAAAGTAAAAATATGAATGGTATTATAATGTTATACTACTTTGAACGATTACGTAATTGTGGCATCCATAATTGTAATCGCGATTAGAAATTCAATTAATTGTGCAGCCCTATTAAAAACAAACAACCCGTGGCAATAGTGTAAAAGTAGCCCAATTCCACAGGAAAACCGCAGACTTGGCAACACTGCTTACTGACCCAGAAAAGCGTCCACCTGATTTGACGTCATTCACCACTGTCGCTTTTTCAGTGATGTACAAATCGCATTGACAGGGGAATATCCGATCTGTCTGCTTACATGGCAGACGCAAATGCACATATCCAAATCATATCAGATTTATTTCCACATATGAATAAGGCCCGAAACCGATCTGAGAATATTGGAATCCATGCGCTTTTTTCCTGCTTACACGTTCGAGGGTCATTTCCGATTTGTGCCACGTAGGACAGTGTTTCTCAACCCTGGTCCTGGGCGCCCCCCCATCACTGCACAATTTATATGTCTCCCTTATCTGACACAACCATTTAAGGTCCTGGAGTTTCCTTTAATGAGCTACTGAGTTGAATCAGGTGTGTTTGATTAGGACCAGGGTTGAGAAACACTGAGTAGGAGGAGAAAATCGGAATTGGGTTGTGGAAATAAAGTGTTAGCAGATAGGAAGCAGACAGTCTACTAATACTCTACTCACTGTTAGTTGACAAGTAGTTGCAGTTACTTAAAGTTAGTAGAATGTTTAAAGTAGACTATCAAAATAAAGTGTTACCTTAAAGGATTAGTTCACTTCCAGAATAAAAATGTCCTGATGATTTACTCACCCCCATGCCATCCAAGATGTTCATGTCTTTCGTTCTTCAGTCGAAAAGAAAATATATATTCATATATATATATATATATACTTTTTAACCACAAATGCTCATCTTGCACTAGCTCTGTGATGCGGTTGTTCGACTTCACGCATTACGTAATCACGTTGAAAAAGTAATGCGCGGTTAGTTCTTTGTCTGTGTACTTCGGTTCAAAAAGGTAAGGTAGGGTAGGGCTTTTTGGGTCTTTGCACGTTCGCTTTGTAAACACTGGGTCAGTACTTCTGCCTACGTTTGGATGATATGGGGGTGAGTAAATTATCAGCAATTTTTTATTCTGGAAGTGAACTAATCCTTTAATATATGAATGCAATTGCATTAGATAAATACAGTTTATCCATGTTCTTACCGTGCTGCAACTTGTAAGTATCATGGTATCCACTACAAACGGAGATCTTCCTGCCGTAGAGTCCATGATGGAAAGCCGGTGCTTTGACTCCACCTGTCGAGTGTGAGCGTGTATGTGATTTTGCGTATAGTTTGGAGGGCAGGATGGTGGGATAGTTCATACCGAGCCTCAAACCCTTCAAATTTTGTAGTGCAAGAGGGAGCGATGGGGTCTTTTTGGAATTCTGAGCATCTCTATCGAGATGGAGTGTTTTCATTTCTATGCCATTGTTGATGTAATGTTGATGCTGATGGGGATGATGATAATGCAGCATACAGTATTGGGTCGGACCCATCTTTGTCCCATTGTCACTCCAATATCCATTAGTCCCGCCCACTGGGAGGGAGCTGCTAGGATTGGCCACACCCCTACGTCTCTTGTGACATAATTCGCCACAGAGGCGTGTGGCATGTCTGAAAAGTTTGCGGCAAATGTGGACGAGGTATTTCAGCATTTCTTCGTAGCAGGATCCCGGTTCAGCCAGGCTAGCTAAGGTGGATTCGTTACTACGAAAACGTGCCCGCTGCTCCTGCATCAGCTGGTTCTCACGTTGTTTGGTCTCGGAGAACTGTGTTGCTATGACAACGAGGCACAGGTTGATCATGAAGAAGGAGCCTACCTGTGGACAAAACAAAATATGAGTATATAACAGAGATATTGAAAACAATAGTCCAAAAACATTGCAGGATTACGAGGTACCTAGTATTTATTACATTTCATGACCTTGACAGTCTTCTCAACAATAATATTGTGATTTGTATGGCATGTTTATGAAGACTAAACATAAAGAAAAGCTAGAAAACAATTTTCTCTCAGAACTGGCTAAAATTCACAAATAACTACAAAGAACAGCAAGTAACACATTGCATTAAATGTGACATTTTGAAATAGATTGAAATAATAAAATGTAATTGTTTTATTTACAACTCTGAAAAATATTTTTTGTATCACTTCTGAAAGATGGTCTAAAAAAGTGTACTTGTCAAAAGTTTGGGGTCAGTATTTTTTAAATTAATTAATTATTATTATTTAAAAAAAAATGTAATACTTTTCACAAAAATATTAAGCAGCACAACTGTTATTAACTGTTATTAACAACTGTTATTAAGCAGCACAATTCTTATTATTTATTATTAACATAATAATAAGAAATTTTTCTTGAGCAGCAAATCAGCATATTAGAATGATTTCTGAGGAATCATGTGACACTGAAGACTGGAGTAATGATGATGAAAATCACAGGAAAAAATTACATATTAAAATAGAACAGTTATATTAAAATGTAATAATATTTTACAGTATTTCTGTTTTACTGTATTTCTGATCAAATAAATGCAACTTTGATTAACATAAAACACTACTACTAACAACAATACATTTTACTATTCCTAATCTTTTGAACGGTAGTTAAAGCATAGGCTATTTTATGGGAAATATATATATTTTTTGTATTTTCTAATTAGCAAAATAGTTTTAAGGTTTACATATTTTAGTCATTTTTTGTAAAGTATCTAAAAATACTGACTAAAAGTTACAAAAAATGTTTCCAGATTTAAGTACATTTAAAAAATGTTGTACAATCAAGAGCCAAAGAACATTTTCTTAATCACTGTTAGTACATTTCATGCACAAACTGTGCAAATCAACCTGTTTAAACACAATTTTGTCCTGAGTTTTAAAGTCGCTAGAGCACACCAGACTGAAACAGGTTAGCAGAAATTGTTTAGTTCTTAATTTAGCTGCATATGATTTTATAATTGCTTATACAGTGTAGTTGTTACTGATCACTAAACTTGGTTGTACTTGATTATAGGTTAAAACAGAAGAATGCGATTTGACTTCAGTAAGACATAACATTATAGGCTAATTGATTTAATACAATGATGACCATTAAATGTGTACATTAAAGGTCTAAGATTATTTAAAAAGTATGATTCTTTTCTTAGAAATGTAGTGCTTACAGTAACTCAGCAGGTTTCTTAAGTACAAGCATTCAGTTTCAATATTGCTCAATTACAAATTCCTTAGAATTTTCATCTCTTTAAGTATGGTTATCAAGTAAAATTACTCGAGTAAATTACACAGCTGATGATAGCAAAAGCCATTTTCATGCAACTAATGAAAGCAGAGACTCCAGCAGAGGTTAAAAGAGAGTAAGACGTATCAGTTAATTAATTACTGTGCACTTACAATGATAAGAAAGATGAAATAGATGAAGTTGTAAAAGGAATGGGCATCCATGACATAGTACATGATATCCACCCATCCCTCTAACGTGATGACCTGATGAGAAAACACAAACAGGATTCTACAGGTTACGACATCCACCATGCATGCAATCCTTAAAATACAGCCCTTCTATCAAGTGCCAAAACACAAAGGACATCTTCAGATATTGTTCATCGCTTCCACAAAACTAGGTCAGGAAACTCTATGGAATGATAAACGTCACGCTGTGGTCAATCGGATTACTCAGAAACCCGATAAATGTCCATGTCCATTCCCAATCAGGTTACTAAAGAATATGATAAATATTGTTGCCCTGTAGATTAAATTAGAATGGAACATGATAAAACTTGATTTCCTAGGACAGGTAAGTTGGTTATTGATGTAAGAGGATGCACTCTCGCTGTAGCCCCTGGCAACCATTCACTTCATTTTCTGACTCTGAAACTAAGTGTCTCTCGGCGCCAAAAGGATATGCGAGGATAAAAAATATCACCGCCTGCCAGACTGAATATATACTCAGCGAAAATTTTAATGAACAACTTGGAGCGGATCTCTAACACACTTTCATCCGAGTAGAAAAAAATAAGAATTCTTGAACTGCCTTCCTAAAAAATTATTGATGACTATGCATGTTTTTTTTACATAAACTCAAGTCAATACCCTTTCATCTTTTTGCCGACACGTGTACACACCTGAAAGATAGCAATCCAAGCATATCCAATGTTGTCAAAGTTGATAGCCCCATTATGCGGATTGTGTTCGCTTGCATTGCATTTGTTGTAATACAAGTTCCAGTTTACACATCCATGATGAGGGGGACCTTTGAAAACAAGATCTGTGACATTATCAGCCGTGAGCTCACAATCAGCCCCTCCAACTCTGCGCTTCGGGATGTTGAAGCAGTGCAACATTCCGTTGTCCCGAGTGGTGGAGCAAATGAAGGGAACGTCATAGGTTTCGTCCAGTCTGTAGTATTCACTCACAGACTCTGAAACATTATACAGCCTGCAGAGAGACCACATGGAGTAAGTTTCAGAGAAACACACACACACACACACACACACACACACACACACACACACACACGCACACACACAC